CACAAAATAATTTTTCATTGCAATATGGTAATTGGGATCCTAAATACCTCACTACGACTGATAGATCTATTTTACGTACAAATATTTACATTAGGACAAGAATAACACATACACACATATATTATACAAGTTCACGAAGAATGTACACACTTGCCCCGACACAACATTTACCGTTCTTCATTATGCCGGCATGGCGCCATAACCGCAATTTTGTCATTAAAAAACACCATTGTATTTCTGTTGCAGACCAGGTCAATGTGACCATGATATTTCCATTCTTTCAGTCAACACGTATTCTCCACCATGTACTTCGCCTGGTTATTTCTGCTGTCAAATTGCACAAAGGGCGAAGTATAGCTGCGATGGCATTCTACCAAATGAGCGAGGGACGTAGCTGGCGAAGTCAGCAGATGGCGTCCACGTTCATCACGTGGTTGCAGTTGAGTCAGAAACAGAACATTGTATACATGTATATATATCAAAGAGTGGTGGTGCCAGTTTGGTACCCACACAGCTGAGGTAACCTGGATTCCGAGAATGGTTGCCTCGACAGTTTGGCACTTGGTGGCTAGACTGGCTCCTAGTCCGTGAACATATTTTTTTCCCTTCCGCCCAGCCCTTACTGCAAATGCTACAGCCCTAAATGAAGCAAGTCTAGATTTTCCACATGGTCTGAGACTTCCATCTCACGGGGACTCTTCAGTTTAAATATTAATGTAGCTGCTTGTTTCTAATAAAATGTATATTTTCGGAGACTAGGCGTTAGTCTACGGAGAGTTTCACCGGGTGAGGCAGTTCCTAATTGCGAGGAATGTGAACAAATGTAATTTATTTCGAGTTTTTTTGTAAGGCACACAATTGTTTGCAATGCATCTGGATACATCTGGAAACATCTGGATACATCTGGATCTCTCAGTGGCCATGGCCTGTGTGAGATTGTAAGACTAGAGACTAGACAGATACAGCGTAGATAGATACATGGACGTAGACAGAAACAGATAAGAATAATTATACCAGTGAGAAGCTTTGGTTCGATGAAGCTAGATGTAAATATAATATAGATACTGACTAAACAAAAAGACACAGGCTGCTAGAGCTGAAGAGGGGATGAGTATAGCCTGCTAGAGCTGAGGAGGGGATGAGTATAGGCTGATAGAGCTGAAGAGGGGATGAGTAAAGACTGCTAGAGCTGAAGAGGGGATGAGTATAGGCTGCTAGAGCTGAAGAGGGGATGAGTACAGGCTGCTAGAGCTGAAGAGAGGATGAGTATAGACTGCTAGAGCTGAAGAGGGGATGAGTACAGGCTGCTAGAGCTGAAGAGAGGATGAGTATAGACTGCTAGAGCTGAAGAGGGGATGAGTATAGACTGCTAGAGCTGAAGAGGGGATGAGTACAGGCTGCTAGAGCTGAAGTCGGGATGAGTACAGGCTGCTAGAGCTGAGAGGTGGATGAGTATAGACTGCTAGAGCTGAGGAGGGGATGAGTATAGGCTGATAGAGCTGTGAGGGGGATGAGTATAGGCTGCTAGAGCTGAGGAGGGGATGAGTATAGGCTGATAGAGCTGAGGAGGGGATGAGTATAGGCTGATAGAGCTGAAGAGGGGATGAGTATAGACTGCTAGAGCTGAAGAAGGGATGAGTATAGGCTGCTAGAGCTGAGAAGGGGATGAGTATAGGCTGCTAGAGCTGAGGAGGGGATGAGTATAGGCTGCTAGAGCTGAAGAGGGGATGAGTATAGCCTGATAGAGCTGAGGAGGGGATGAGTATAGGCTGATAGAGCTGAAGAGGGGATGAGTACAGGCTGCTAGAGCTGAAGAGAGGATGAGTATAGACTGCTAGAGCTGAAGAGGGGATGAGTAAAGACTGCTAGAGCTGAAGAGGGGATGAGTACAGGCTGCTAGAGCTGAAGACGGGATTAGTATAGGCTGCTAGAGTTGAGAGGTGGATGAGTATAGGCTGCTAGAGCTGAGGAGGGGATGAGTATAGGCTGATAGAGCTGAGGAGGGGATGAGTATAGGCTGCTAGAGCAGAAGAGGGGATGAGTATAGACTGATAGAGCTGAAGAGGGGATGAGTATAGACTGCTAGAGCTGAAGGGGGATGAGTATAGACGATATATACTTAGATAGATGGTCAGATTGATGATGGATGGATAGATAGTTAAATTGATATTTCGACGATATATACCTAGATGGGCAGATTGATGATGATAGATAGTTAGAGGGATATATAGACGATATATACCTAGGTGGGCAGATTGATGATGACAGATAGTTAGAGGGATATATAGACGATATATACCTAGATGGGCAGATTGATGATAATAGATAGTTAGATGGATATTTCGACGATATATACATAGATGGGCAGATTGATGATGATAGATAGTGGGGGTGGGCGTGTTTGGTACAGGGTGGGTTCGGAGACAGGGTGAGGCGAGTTTATTAGATGGGGATGTGTTTACTATCAGGGCTTGGGCGTGTGCTTATTAGGGGGTGTTTACAAGAGGAGAAGAGGCTTGTATGTTAAAGTGGTCTACGTGGGCGGTGGCCGCTCAGTAAGACTAACGAGAGCGGGTGTGAAGCATATGCTGGCTCCACTACAACACAATCTCTGATACATGGTATCAGCATGGCCCAGTTTGTATTCCCCTGGACGGCTACAGACACAAGCATGAAATACTCATATCCCCCGCCAATATGTCCGGTTGTGTGCAAGGCTAGAAATAATGTACGGTTTTCAAGATCTGCTCCGGAAAGGAGTACTAACGCCGTTTTCAGTCCCGTCAAAGTCGTTGCTATGGAAACTCCAAAAATAATGTTTTCAAAAATCCCAATTAAACTATTAAAGGGCACCAGTTTACCACAAGACCTATCTATGTGCCAACTTTGGTGAAGAAATATTGTACGGTTTTCAAGATCTGCTCCAGAAAGGAGCACAAACGCCATTTTCAGTTTCGTCAAGGTCGTTGCTATGGAAACTCCAAAAATAATGTTGAGTTCTGCTCCGAAAGCGAAGCGTGACGGACGGACGGACGGACGGACGGAAGGACGACGGATAGCACCCATTCCTATATCCCCCCTTCAGCTTCGTGGCGGGGGATAGAAAACGCATTACACTGGATTGTTGAATGAACAGTCAGTTTATGATCCTAGTGTGACCACCTGATTCACCATAGTCGTCCCTTGAGTGAGTGAGTGAGTGAGTGAGTGCAGTGGGTGAGTGAGTGAGTGAATGCAGTGGGTGAGTGAGTGCAGTGGGTGAGTGAGTGAGTGAGTGCAGTGGGTGAGTGAGTGAGTGAGTGAGTGAGTGAGTGAGTGAGTGAGTGCAGTGGGTGAGTGAGTGAGTGAGGTTTTGTGCCGCTTTAAGCAATATTCCTGCAATATCGCGGCGGGGGACATAAGAAAATGTGCTTTACACATTGTGACCATGTGGGGATTCGAACCCGGGCCTTCGGCGTGACAAGCGAACGCTATAACCACTTGGCTACGCCACTAGGGAACGAGGCACTGGGGAAGAATAAATAAGGTTCACAGCCACTTTTTAGCGGACACCAAGAATAAGCGTCACGTACACGTTGTTTCCATTTCGAGAATCGAACCCGGACTATTTGTTACTGTACTCACATATATACTTGCACCGTCAGTGTGAACCAATCCATGTAAATTTTATGAAAAGGTCGTGTTGGGAGAGAATATTGAAACTTTTAGCAGCAGCAATATTGTTACCATCGAACGTGGAGACGTGTCTGCTTGTGCCGGGCCAATATCGCGAGTCAATTACCAAATATGGGTGCATTATTATGATGATCATGACTACACGCATGTACCAAATGACACGACCTCATGTGCACGTGTACCACGTGCCGCGCCCCCTGTTGGCCGCATTTCTGGCATGTGACCGACCTTTAGAAATGTCAGAAGAAATGAGACACACTCCATGACCGATGTTTGCCCATGTAGTTCCACAACGTGGTGTCGTTCAGTATCCATGGTTGGGGCCCTATGTAAAACCCTCGCGGCCCCCAACAAGCCGTGTATCTGTGGTCAGTCAATATAATCGCGCTAACAGTAAACAAGCTGACCCGAAAAGGTGTTATCTTGTTTACTGTTTACTCAGTCACGTGACGACGGAGGATCTTGGTCACCCTCAAACTGGGAGGAAGTTAGAAACATGGGCGCGACTAAAAGTCGGATTGAGTTGATTGCTATTTAATAATATGGAAAATATTGCAAAGCTGATTTTTTAAATGTCATGCTGTTCTCGTTGCTGGGGAGAATATATTTTTGTACAAGAAAATCGCACATTCTTATTTCGAATTCGTATTAAGTAAATGAAGTTGGCTTATTCCAATATTTACAACGAATCCTATAAGTATTCCATTTGATATTCGATGTGAATGAAACAACGACACTTCGCCATTTGGTATTTGCAGCCAACATCCGTCATAACGAGTGAGTGAGTGAGTGAATGAATATGGTTTTACGCCGTTTTAAGCAATATTCCAGCAATATCACGGCGGAAATGGGCTTCACACATTGTACCCATGTCGGGAATCGAACCCGGGTCTTCGGCGTGACGCGTCATAACGAAATAACAATATGCACGGTGATCTGATGATATTACGAAGTTATCACTACATGCTTGTTTGTTTGTTTGTTTGTTGTTTAACGCCGCACTCAGCAATATTTCAGCTATATGACGGCGGTCTGTAAATAATCGAGTCTGGACCAGACAATCCAGTGGTTGACATCATGAGCATCGATCCACGCAAATGGGATACGATGACATGCATCAACCAAGTCAGCGAGCCTGACCATCCGATCCCGTTAGTCGCCTCTTACAAGCATAGTCGCCTTTTGCGGCAAGCAGGGTTGTTGAAGACCTATTCTACCCCTATCACTACATGTACATGTACAACGATCATCTCTTATTACGAATTTATAACCACATGATAGCTAAATTCGGATATTACGAAATCACCACAATGTAAACAGAAACGTGCTGATATATACAAAGCATCACCATATATACCGCGAAGTTCGGATATAACGAACTTACCATCGTTTTCAAAGCGAGGTTTTTAAATGTCCAAGTTATCAAAACGTGTACAGCGAAGTTCTTATAAGACGAATTTATCATTACGTGTACATCGAAGTTCGATTTAAGCGAAACTCACTGATACCGTTTGTTCGTTATATCCGTAGTGGTATACATGATAGTGGCATTTGAGATTTATTTCAGATAATTCTGTTCCATTGCCCATTGAAGTTTGTTACATCAAAACATCTATCCATGAAAGGGCGATATGCCAGATTGCTCACCAAACATGTCTGCATTTGTTAGTGGAAACCTGGGGGTCACGGGGGTCCAGTCGTCCAAGGCGCCGCGATTCGCTGTGCAGAGTTGCGTCCCTTGGGGACGCCAGAAACCTATGATTGTGGGTTCGAATCCCGGTTCGCCCCGATTATGTTTCTAGGTTTGTCAGCACCATACCCGTGCTCGTGGTTTTCACCGAAGTGGTAAACGTCTGAGACCTGCATCACTTCTTGCTTTCCTCCCATTAAACTCACACGCCGTGATATAACTGGAATAATGTTAAAAGCGGCGTTAAACCCAACTCACTCACTCACTAGTGGAAACGTTTATTAAGTAATCATATGAAATAACGTAACACTATAGTTGTACGTTGAAATTGGGTCACCACAAGGCAATAATAGCCAGATGGCTTTTCCCTAGACTAATATAGACCTAGAAATAAAGCTATTCAAAAATATATTATCTAAAATCTAAAAAATAGAATCCTATTAGAACCAACAAGCTTGCTTAATTTCTGGAGTTTAGGCAATCTTGACTTGCCAAATTATTCTATACTTGAGTTGGATTCGTTTTTATTTCATTCTCTGGGGTCTGGGAGGCTTGGTGGGCTTTGCCCATACCCATACATTTACTATGGGTAAATCTGGCATATTCCCCTATCTTGGACACATCGTACGCTCCTCACGACATACGATGTACCCTGTGGCGCTGTGACGAAATATACAAACTGGATATTGAAACAAAACAAACATTGTAACAGAATAAATTCAACAAATTAAACTTCAACTGCTCAAATCTATATAAGGATGAATGTTAGCTTGAGACAATGCATTGTAACACAATATCCTTCGTTGGAATATTGCTTTGGCAAGATGGCAGGATTAGGGACACACTCACGCGATGACATCACATCCTGACATGCGCAATGCACATGCTGGTTGTTTCAGAATGACATTTTTTCTTTTTTGTGTGGATAATTCGTCTTCCTCTGGTCTTGTGACTTCGAGGATACACGCGCTCCTTTACACATGCGTAAATGGAGAATTTAAAAAGAGCATCTCCGTCACAAAAATATTCCAATATTAATAAAATCCAACATTTGGAAGCGTCATTCGAACGAGCACATTCAATCAAGGCGTTTAAACGTTAAATCGACGTCACTTCCTGACACGCTCGTATCATTTTTATTGTTGACAGCACGGCATGGTGTGGAAAATACCCTGTGGTTTCTGATATATAGTGATATATATTGATGTTTCAGTTTATCAACATCACATACGCATCACTTGATGTAAATGATTCATTTCAGAATCAGATTTTCTCGTTTCGTGGGAATTGTGGACTTCATCAATTTCGTTTCTTGATCTTAGTTTTAACACACACCCAGCACTTGCAACGTTGCAAATTCCTCATCGGATTTCCTAATCCGAACTGAACCTTCAATTGAGATCGTCTTTTGTATAAACCCGACAGGCCAATCAGTCACGTGATTAAGCCGCGCTTTCCTCTGGGTAGGCTGACAATACGTTGTCATAGACGCTCATCTTGGATGAGGACGTCTGCTCGAAGGTCATAGGTCGCTTGGCCGAGGGGTACACGAGGGGTTGGGGCTCGGGAATATCAATGTCTTCGGTTCGGGCTCCTCCTTTGGTATGAATGGCAGAGGATTGTTGCGAGCTGGAAGAAGATCTCATCTGAGTATGGTAGGAGGAAGAAGAGGAAGTTCCAGTGTGGGTGGACAACATCGGTGTTGACTCTGCTGGGTTGTCGTAGTCGTCGTCAAAACCATACCTGATTGACGAGGACGTGGAGGAGGTGCCCCTCATGGGGTATACCTGGATTGGGTACTGTGGGGTGGGGGAGGGAGGGGCGAAAGGGGGCCCAAGGGGGTGCTGCACGGGCGGGATATATCCTGGACCCGATGGCTTGTATATTGGTGTCTGGCCCGCGAAGCTGTTCTGCTGGCTGTACATGTGAGATTGGCTAGAGTGCTGGATTGGTATCTGGTGCACGGTATCCATGCGTGGTGAACCGCCAGAGGGCGCTATTGTCACGTGACCCGAACCTTCTCTCAGTTCCGTATCCGGTGATAGGGTGACATGTTTTTCAAGAGTGCGGCCATTTCGCTTGGAACCCGAGTCAGACCTCTTAAGGGATGATGGTTTCTGGATGACGGCGTAGCTGGGGATCTCCTCCACATCAACCTCTCCCTGTAACATCAACATCAACATCAGTTTATACACCGTTATGTACAACACATTGGTAACATGTTCCTCAGAATAGCTGTCTAGAAATTTTGGTTGTAATTTTCTGAGTGTGTGAATGAATATTGTTTTATGTTGCAGTGGGCATTATCCGAGCCATAGCACAGCGGTCTGTAAATAATTAATTCAGGGTCAGGCAAACCAGGGGTTTGAAAATATGAGTGAGTGAGTGAGTTAGCAATATTCCAGCAATATCACGACGGGGACACCAGAAATGGGCTTCACACATTGTACCCATGTCGGGAATCGAACCCGGGTCTTCGGCGTGACAAGCCAACGCTTTAACCACTAGGCTACCCGACCGCCCCTTGAAAATATGAATAGTTATTCAGGCCGGTGACACACAATCAGCCAAGTCGCATATTGTAACCACCCGTGGAGATCCGGGAAGACAATAGGTCTTCAGCAACTCAAGCCGCACTCAACAATATTCCAGCTATATGGCGGCGGTCTGTAAATAATCGAGTCTGGACCAGACAATCCAGAGATTAATGTCATGAGTATCGATCCACGCAATTGGGATCGATGACATGCATCAACCAGGTCAGCGAGCCTGACCACCCGATCCCTTGACTCGGTTCTTACGACAAGCATAGTCGCCTTTTACGGCAAGCATGGGTTGCTGATTGCCTATTCTACACCGGATCTTCACGGGTCCACCAGGAAGAGGAGGAGACAACTTAAACTGCAAGAAAATATGACATCTGTTGCTCGCATTTGAATACTTGCTCTGACCAAATACTGACTGAGTATGGTTTTAACGCCGCTTTTAGCAATATTCCAGCAATATCACGGCAGGGGACACCAGACATGGGCTTCATACATTGTACCCATGTCGAGAATCGAACCCGGGTCTTCGGCGTGACGAGCGAACGCTTTAACCACTAGGCTACCCGACCGCCCCTCTGACCAAATAAGGTGTTAAGGTAAAGTCGCCTCTTACGACCAGCATCTATGAAACATCCCTGTTAGAACTGATCTTCAGCATCCCATGCTTGTCGTAAGACGCGACCAACGGGATCGGGTGGTCAGGTTCGCTGACTTACTTGATGCATGTCATCGTATCCCAATTGCGTAGATCGATGCTCATAACGTCAATCATTGTGTGGTCCAGACTGGATTATTTACAGACCGCCGTCATACAGCTGAAATATTGCTTTGAGCGGCGTTAAACAACAAACAAACAAAGCATATTGTAACCACTCGATCTCCCTTGTCAACGGGGGCTTTCTGACACGCCGTGCTACGACTGGAAAACTGTTCAAAGCGGCGTTAAACGCACACACTGACTCACGCATTTCTCAGCCGCGCCTGGGCTGATGAGGATGTAGTGTTTCAGTTGCTTATGACTGTTCCAGATATTATAATGCATCTTTAAACAAGTAATTACACCGAAAGAACACGAAACACGTCATCTTTACTAAGTACCTGCCTGGGGCTGGACATTAAGGAGATAAAACAAGGACTGGTCGTCTCGGGGCCAGTATACTGTGTCTGATTGGGGTATCCATGTTAAAAGATGGTACTTGTTGTTACCCTGCCTGGGGCTGGACATTAAGGAGATAAAACAAGGACAGGTCGGCTCGGAGTCAGTATACTGTGTCTGATTGGGGTATCCATGTTAAAAGATGGTACTTGTTGTTACCCTGTCTGGCGCTCGGCATTAAGGGGCTAAAACAAGGACTGGTCGGCTCGGGGCCAGTATACTGTGTCTGATTGGGGTATCCATGTTAAAAGATGGTACTTGTTGTTACCCTGCCTGGGGCTGGACATTAAGGAGATAAAACAAGGACAGGTCGGCTCGGAGTCAGTATACTGTGTCTGAGTGGGGTATCCATGTTAAAAGATGGTACTTGTTGTTACCCTGCCTCGGGCTGGACATTAAGGAGATAAAACAAGGACAGGTCGGCTCGGAGTCAGTATACTGTGTCTGAGTGGGGTATCCATGTTAAAAGATGGTACTTGTTGTTACCCTGCCTGGGGCTGGACATTAAGGAGATAAAACAAGGACAGGTCGGCTCGGAGTCAGTATACTGTGTCTGAGTGGGGTATCCATGTTAAAAGATGGTACTTGTTGTTACCCTGCCTGGGGCTGGACATTAAGGAGATAAAACAAGGACAGGTCGGCTCGGAGTCAGTATACTGTGTCTGAGTGGGGTATTCATGTTAAAAGATGGTACTTGTTGTTACCCTGCCTGGGGCTGGACATTAAGGAGATAAAACAAGGACAGGTCGGCTCGGAGTCAGTATACTGTGTCTGAGTGGGGTATCCATGTTAAAAGATGGTACTTGTTGTTACCCTGCCTGGCGCTCGGCATTAAGGGGCTAAAACAAGGACTGGTCGGCTCGGAGTCAGTATACTGTGTCTGAGTGGGGTATTCATGTTAAAAGATGGTACTTGTTGTTACCCTGCCTGGCGCTCGGCATTAAAGGGATAAAACAAGGACTGGTCGGCTCGGAGTCAGTATACTGTGTCTGAGTGGGGTATCCATGTTAAAAGATGGTACTTGTTGTTACCCTGCCTGGCGCTCGGTATTAAAGGGATAAAACAAGGACTGGTCGGCTCGGAGTCAGTATACTGTGCCTAGTTGTTGTCTAGTATAGCTTGTTTGGATTCGACCGCCTCCATGGTCTAATGGTAGAGCGTCCGCCCGGAGAGCGGAAGGTCCGGGGTTCGATCCCCGGCCGCGTCATAACAAAAGACGTTAAAAGATGGTACTTGTTGTTACCCTGTCTGGCGCTCGGCATTAAGGGGCTTAAACAAGGACTGGTCGGCTCGGAGTCAGTGTACTGTGTCTGAGTGGGGTATTCATGTTAAACTGCGGCATGGTATCTCAGTGTGCTAGCACTATAAATCGGCTTCAGTCCGGACTAGTAGAAGCAGCAACACACACACATACACGTGTATGCACGTCGCTAAATAAGGGCAATAATCTTGGACGCGACGTTAAACCCCCCTTCACCTCACCTTGTTTGGATTCGGGGTACAGGTGGCCCAGTTGTCTGAGGAGAATATGTGAACAGTTGCGTCCTTGGGCGTGCCCGGGCCCACTTTCACAAAGCGATCTTAGCGCTAAGATCGCTTTGTGCAAGTGGGCCCAGGTCGTTGCTCGGAATCGCATCTTTGCCCTGATTTTGATTCTTGGTTTATCAGGGTTTTATAAAGTTTCACGCCACAGTTTCCCACCATTATTATCATAAATTATACATTTATATACTGCACCTATCCAGACTGCTCTGCTCAAATGCGGTTTTATATTTGTTGCCAGCTTAGTGGATCCGTATGGACTCCAGATTTCATTCTCAGCTCCCTATGGAATATACAGCTCATGCTGTCTACGGGCGTTTTTACACTTTAGATATCGCGTACCTGATCACTAAATGGGTACGGTATAAGCGCCTGGCGCTTTAGACCGCTCGCCAACTTCGCACCTTGACCTATTCTCCATCCCAGCTTCTTTTTAGCTGGATTCGAATGACACGAGACACAAAATAACCGTCCAAATATTATGTGATCTTAAGTTATTGATTAAGAGTGAGTGAGTGAGTGAGTTGGGTTTAACGCCGCTTTTAGCAGTATTCGAGTTATATCACGGCGTGTCAGCTTAATGTGTGAGGAAGGCCCCAAGTGATGCAGGTCTCAGACGTTTACCACTTTGGTGAAACCCACGAGCACGGGTATGGTGCTGACAAACCTAGAAACATAATCGGATCGAACCGGGATTCAAACCCACAATCATAGGTTTCTGGCGTGCCCAAGGGACGCAATTCTGCACAGCGAATCGCTGCGCCTTAGACGACTTGGCTACCCGTGCCCCCTATTGATTAAGAAGATTCATGGACACGACATTCGTAAAATGCATCTGCAAAATCAGTCACAAAAAACATTGAAAAAGTATCCTTGGGTGGGGCTATAGTAAATTGTTTCCAGGCCCCGATAGTGATAATGTATTTATACTATCATTGTTAACAATACCACGAAAGCAATCGTTTCACACATTTAGACATGTTTACTATAGATTTCCTCCGAAATACTGCAGCTATGTCTTGCATTAAAACCAGATGTATCCGCTATTCAGGATCAAGTCAGTCGCCGTTTTGTCTACAACGATTTGGTTTAAGAGAGTCCAACAGGAAGAGGTGTATTGTAGGATTCAGTGCGGGTTAAACTACGGGTCTAACAATGGTGCTCAAGTTAGTAGGCACATGTTGTATCGATCTAACGCCATTGCATGGTTGTGTGAAGTTTGTTTATATCTGGAGGCATGTTGGTCGGCCATTATGCTGCCGCAGCAAGGAACCCAGAGTTCCAGGAGACTGAAATAGTCACCAGTGGGTTTGGCATCCTCCCAGAGACAGGGGATGAACACTTCTTAAATCTCAGGGCCAAGAAGCACCATCTCATCATACATTTTCCTCCCGTAACAGTAAATTACCTTCGTAGAGTCCCGCGGAAAGGTTCGTTTGGGTTTAACTCAACAGCGCTCACCTTGTTATGATGTTGCTAGGGGCAACGTTTCGGTGTTGATATTTCCTGTCTTGTAAACTGGCAGTTTTTTGAGTGGAACGGAATTTGAACACTGCGGTGATTGATGTTACACTTACGCTTGAAGAAGTATCATAATGTTGTTGTCAGTTAATGTGAAACTGTTTTTTATACCTTTCCTGGATTGTTATGCTGTATCTGGCTATTTAGCGACCAGAGAAAGTCACGTGACTTCGTTATCTGCACCATGACCTTGTGTGACCTTGACGTCTCTTGAGGTCACGGTACCGCCGACTGAGCCAACGAATGTGTTATAATTATACCACTGTCTAAGTAACTCCCCACTTCCGTGTTTGAATGGAATGTCAATTTCTTTCCAGAAACAATTACTTGTAAACAACAAGTACCATCTTTTAACGTCTTTTGGTATGACGCTCTCCGGGCGGACGCTCTACCACTA